TTGCCTAGCAGCTAGAACGATTCTAAATGACTGGAATCTTTCCCCATCTTGTTGTCGTCTACCACCACGACCACCGGACAGAGCTTCATCAACATTGTTCACCATGTTCATCATCTCCTAAATTTTAGGGATTGATTACCGAAAAGATACACAGACACCCACCATCAATAGCTAATTCAAGTCGTTAATTGTGGTTATCTGTTTGGACCCAATGGGTTAAGCTTCTCCTATATTCATTTTGTTTCACTTTGGCTGGGCTTCTTTCTTGTAATTGCCTACTTAGGCTTGTTTCTTGTTTCGAGTTCACTGGATTGTTTTGGTCAAAGGCCCACTATTGTAAATATTTACTATTTATGTCAGTTGCTTAACATTTAAAAATAAATAAAAAAAAACACAAATTGCTCTTTCATGGTTAGCTCACTTCATAGTCTTCTCCCACATAAACCTCAATTGCGTTGAAAAAAATAACTAAGCATGGCAATTAAGGCTAAAACTTACCTACAAGTAAACTCATCTGTTATAATTTATTGTGTATATATAATAAGGGATTGTTTTTTTGCACTTGATCCTTATAATAATTCGACTATCCGCCCTGATCCAAAAGTTTTCCATTTTCTTCTTGTGATTGTCTATTCAAGTGGACAGAACATAAATCTATGGCCTAAACGGAGAAAAAAAAAAAAAAAAAAAAAAAAAAATATTGTCTCAAATGATTTGTCTCATATGTAACTCTCAATTGGGGTGAAGGACGCACAACTGGGTTCACATGGCAACAGAACTTCCTAATTTGTTGGTGCACCTATTGAGCAAAAGGGTTCACAAATAAGAGAACCACTACAATTAGACTATTGGCTACAACTGTGAATATATGAATGGTGCATGCAAGCTTTGATTAGACCATTCGGGGCCAACAAACTATGAACCATTTATAACACGAGTCTTTAGACCATTAGCTACAAAGAGGTCCACACGCACAGTTCAATCCATACCAAAAACAATCTGTGGACACTTTTCGACGCAAATGTAGAGCTAGCTAAGATTCAAAGATCAGAGTGAAGGACCAATTTGTCTCCTTTCAATCCAAGGAATTAGAGTGAAAAGATGGGCTTGCTTGAGGTTCTTAGGTTTGTGGCTCTGGGTGTGGCATTTCTTTGCATGGTACAAGCCATGTCCATTTCTATGACTTTGTAGTAAGTATACAACATATATATTTTGGGTTACATTCATATAAATATGATATATCACTAATTAGTAAGTATACAACATATATATTTTGGGTTACATTCATATAAATATGATATATCACTAATTAGTAATTTTTGTGTCTAATGATATCTCCTCTCCTTTTAAATTAAAAGGCGAGGGTTCAAATTGTTAAGTCTTTTTAGTTAAATTCAAATTGGTAGGGTTCTTAGAGCAATTTTTGTTTTTTTAAATTTTAAGATCACTTTAGAGTAATTTTTTTTTTTAAAAAAAAAAATTTGGGCACCAAAATCTAATTTTCTTAAAAAAAAAATATTCGCTCATAAATACATATCTCGAACACAAAATCTCAATGGGAAAAAAATCTCACAATTGAAAAACCGAGATACCAATATAAATTTTCAAATAAATAATGTCTTAGAGTTTCTTTTATATTTAAATATATACTTAGAATTTAATATAAATAAAAATATATATATATATATAGTTTATTAATTAGTTTTATAATTGCATTTTTATGTTATATACCGTTTGTGTGTGTGTGTGTAATATAGTTTATAATTGTTTATTAATTAGTTTAGGGTTCACCGTGGATGTCACATACATATACGGAGTATATATTTTTCCTAATTCTTTAATTAAAGCTTGATAATCTAGGATAACTTGTTTGTTAATTTTACCTCATCTTTATTAGTAAATGTTTTATTCCATGTTTTATTATAGCTTAGAGAAACAAATTTTACAAGGCTATGTAACACGAAGAGTACGTTAGTTGTGAGTGACAGTTTTTCGGACCCGTGATTCGTGTTCATAGAGGAGATTACAGTATATGTAAATGTTCACAATTAAGGGTCATTATGGTATATTACAATGCATTACAAGAAACAAAATAAGGTATTGTCGTATTCTCTTATCTTCTCTTCCATCCAACCGAAGAAATAAAAGAAATTACACAATCTCTTTCCTAGTAATGTTTTATTTATCTCTTCTTCTCTCTCTTCCATCCAAATTTCTTCCATCCTACCAAACGGAGCATTACAATAAAAGTCATAATAATGAATGTTGCCTTCCACCAAAGAACTAGATGTAACACTTGCATATTAAAAAAAGGTCTTTCAATAATATTTATATATGAAAGCAACTTAATTTAGACTAATTTCCATGTGGGTCCTTATATAATTATATGGTTAAGAAAATAGTTGTTTGAATGGACTTTAATTAGTTATCTGCTAATCCTCGGGTGGGTTTTGGAGACTTTGATTTCCTGTTGGGCAAATGAGTCAAGGAAAGGTATTTAATAATTAAATTAGGAGAATTATTATATAATATGACTACCAATTTAAATGATTCTCACAAACTCACAGTGATTTAGTATTTTTAAATAGTGATTTGGTGATCATCATATCATGTGGGTGTTCCTGTGTTGTGCATGTGGGTCTATGGATGAATATACTTGCCCAGAAAAAAGAAAAGAAAAATATGATACATAATTTGCCATGTATTACAAAGATATATTTTTAGTCGAACTGTGATTTAGTTGAAGCCAATTCAAAGTTCTGAACTATCTAAACAACTGCTATTACATAGATATTAAAAAAGGGCAGAGGACACCCCAAATCCTCATACATTTTGCTTCCTGTACTATTTTTTTATTTTTTATTTTTACATTGTCATCACACGATTTAAGTTAAACCTTAAAAAAAAAAAGAAAAAAAAAGAACCATCTCAAGGAAAGATGATCTATTATGTGATATATATAAATTAGAAAGGTAGAGAAAGTATAAAATACATAAGTTACAAAAAGTAAGAGGGTGAAAAGCATAATTGATATATATATATATATATATATATATATATATAACCACTCTAACTTATTGTTTATTTATTTATTATTATTATTTTTCAATATAACAACTCTAGCTTATAATTTATCTAATCAAATATGAAAAAATTAGTTGAAATTTGAGTTATTTGTGGGCAAACGATTGATGTAAAAAGAGTTGTGCGAATATGATAGTATGATACAACGTCAAGAGTTAAATAAATAAATAATAATAATAATAATAATAATAATAATAATAAAAAACCAAAAAAATTGAACGGTCAAGCTCAGCTCTTGGTTTAGATGGTATATAAGAGCATCTCCAGCCCATCTGTTATATGGGTTGTCAATTCAAAATATAGCAGGTGGGTTAAAATTAGGCCCTCTAATGAGCTGCTATTTCACCTGCCAAAAATTGCTTTTGCTATTTTTGGTGCCAAATTTAGCAAAACTTATAGCAACAGCTATTTCTATATCTCTCAATCCTATCCGTCTCTCTCTCTTTCTCTTCCCCTCTCATCCTCATATGTGTGTGTGTGTGTATATATATATATATATCTCTCTTTCTTCTCATATTGGTTTTGAAAAAGATCATAAAAATTTTCACCAACTAGGATTTAGTTTGCAAAACAAGAATTAAAGACATTGATTAGTTGATTTAAAAAAAAAAAAAAAAAAAAAAAAAAAAAAAAACCCTATACATACAAGTTAGCAGTTGGAGAGAGAGAGGGGGGACAAGCTTGAGAGTTGAGAGACAGCGACTGAAGCTTGCGAACGGCGAATCCGAACTGGAACAGCGAGCGATGGAAACTGAAAGATATGGCTTTTGAACTTCTGATTCTTGTTGATTTTGTAGTTTGCAGTTGGAGAGAGAGGGGGGGGGGGGGGGGGGGGCAATTTTAGAGTTGAGAACGAGAATAGAGATGGAGGCGATTGGGGAGGCTGAAATGATTTGCCCTAAAACTATACATGGTGATTTGGGAGGCTGAAATGATTTGCCATATATATATATATATATATATATATATTTGGGTTCTTTTTTGACCAAATATTTTAAATTTTTTATTCTTTTTAATTTAGTTTAATTTTAGTTTACTTTTAATGTCTACAACTTGACTTGGAATGTACCTAATATTAATATTACTAATGCAAATATGAATGTTGGAAATGGTAGTTGAAAAAAAATAAAAAATAACATTTTGCATAAAATGCATCATTAGAGCAGAATTACTAAAATATAACATTTTAACACTATAACACTGTCAAAATATAAATTTGGCATTCGAATTTAGCATTTTACCGCCGGAGATTCTCTAACTCTTAAAATAGTAAATGTCATATAAGTCTTAGAAAAGTAGATGTCATATCACAGAAGTCAATGAGCATGTGCAAGGCCCACTTGTAATTAACTCGTATTTATACAATTGGCTTAATCTTTCGAGGAGAAAAATAATAATAATAATAATAATAATAATAATTCCTTCAATAGCGTGGTTACGTCAAATTCAGATGCGATCTCGACAGAGAGAAATGGTCTGAAGGTAATAGGACCAACCGTAGCTAAGAGTCTGAAGGTATTAGGACCAACTGTAGCCAAATAAACTTGTTATTTTTTAACCCGACAATAGTTAGTAATTAATCGTGGTCAAACCCAATTTACAAAGCAAGTTCCAAGGCCGAGAGCAACAGTAAGCCCCGTGCATAGAGTCTAATCTCTTCGGTCACAGTACGAATTTTCTTCCGGATGTACAGGAGGGAGGAAAAAATCAAACCTAGAATTAATTAGTTGGCGTAGCTAGTGAGAAAAATGGTTCTCAAGTCAGAGACCAGACACTGATACCATTGGACTACTAGTTACACCTGTAAATCTATGAATGCTGTGAACTCTACCATTGGACCATTAGCTAAACAAAAACAGTCAACGTACAATACAATCCATACCAAAAAAACATAAAAACGTGGACATTCACTTTTCGACACAAACATGTATTGAAATTGACAACATTTTTCTTATCTTCTCGTGTGGTGTGTGTGCATATGTTGTACTAGCCAACAGAGTTGCGATTCAGCGGAGATTAGACTCTGAAGCCACTTCATTGAATGGCTCCGTACGAGGTTCTTAGGTTTGTGTTTCTGGGTGTGGCATTTCTTTGCGTGGCTCAGGCCCGCGTCCATTACTATGACTTTGTGGTAAGTATACAACATATATATATATATATATATATATCTGTAACAAAAAAAATTTCGAACAAATAACAATGTGGTAATGTTTTTATTTTATTTTTTTATCTTTAAATATATATAGTTTATGAGTTAGTTTTATGATTGTATTTTCATTTTATTACTCTAGGATAGCTTGTTTTAAAGCTTGATAATTTAGGATATATTGTTTGTTTGTAAATTTTAATCTCTATATTTATTAATGTTTTGTTTTATATTTTATTATAGCTGAGAGAAGCCAATTTTACAAGGCTGTGTAGCACGAAGAGCATGTTAGTTGTGAATGATAGTTTTCCGGGACCTGTAATTCGTGTTTATAGAGGAGATACTGTGTACGTAAATGTTCACAATCAAGGGTATTATGGTGTTACAATGCACTGGTAATCTCTCTCTTTATATATTTATATATATATCTAGTGATGTTGTTTTCAGTTTTTCTATGAAAATATATATATCATATTATCTTCACTTTGAATCAAAATCATTTTTTTTTTTTTGAAAGGTAATAAAAAATTCTTACATATACATATGTGCATATATACGGGCACAGATCTACCATATGGTTGGTGGGACATTTGTCCCTAGATTATTCATTACAAATTTTCACTGCCTTAGATTTAACCAAAAAAAAAAAAAAGATGCAAAAACGGTTCGATTGCACTAATTGAATGACGTTTAGTTGTAAGATGCATTGATTTTGGTTTCGCATGGAGTACAACATCAATAAATCAAATACTTTAAAGTAACTGGTGGAGTTGCATTGATTGAATGGTGTTTAATCGTTACATGCATTGATTTTGGATTCATATGGGTCCAACATCAATAAATCAAATACTACAGTCACTCAAAATTACACAAGAAAGGAAAAAATTGTGAAAAAGCATTCTCCCCTTGTCCAGTGACCTAGAAAATATATATATATATAAGAGAGATATACAATTACACAAGTCTGGATCAGGTTCATACATATTTTTCTGAAACTCACATGAATTTTAAATACGTGCAATAACTGGCAAATCACACATAATATTTTTACACTCAATAATAGTTGAATTTATAACTTCCGAAATTACGACACCCGAGTCACCTATGCAGATTCTTGTCTGCATCTCTTGCTGACTCTTTGGACCACTCTAGTGATGCAAAATATCAAATATATGAAAGTGTTTGGCTAAAGGGTATTGATGTAACTTTCAGGCATGGAGTACTGCAACCAAGAAATCCATGGTCAGATGGGCCAGAGTACATCACACAATGCCCCATTCAGCCTGGTGCAAACTTCACTTATGAGGTCATACTTTCTACAGAGGAAGGAACCCTTTGGTGGCATGCTCATAGCGATTGGACTCGGAACAGTGTTCACGGTGCCATTGTTATACATCCGCCCGCCGGAATTTGTTATCCTTTTCCCACCCCTGATGAAGAAGAAATCGTCATACTAGGTAACATCATTCTTTTTGTAGTGTAATTGCTTTTGTGTGAATAAATGGACTTGGGTACTTGGGTCCTCTCGAGCACTGCGGACGTCTTGCACTCCATCAAAGGTGGAGATTATACATCAACACTTCACGAGAGTAGACCATTATTAGTGGGTCCCATCTAATGATTCAATCTTCACCGCAAAACTTTGACGATCTCATCTACCAATTCAATCTCAAACCACATTCTCTCCGGCCCTCTCAAGCCATGGAGAGGATCCTTTTCCAGGAATAAATATCCTATAAATTGTTTATTAGTAATAAAAATTAAGTTCAAGCAGGTCATCATAGAGCAACAGCCAGCTAAAATTATTCCCAAAAATAAGTTATTGACGCTACATAACAAGGAGTATATGCCCAAAAACCTAGCAACAATACCATATATTAACATCATTAATCCATGTCCCAAAAACCTAATACATAGCAAGAATATTATATGCCCAAAAACCACAAGTAACACATTTTCTCCCAAATATCAAAATCGCATGACTTGGTATGGGGGTGTGATTGTTGATCATTCAACCATTCAAGTTGGCTCTTCGGGCCCTCCAATACTACAAACATCTCCCCATTTGCACAATTTTTGAACAAAAAAGTCTCAAATTTGAAAAGCAGACTCTCCTTTTCACAACCTGAAAATGTAAACAATTTATGGAGCATAAGATGCAGACAAAAAATATATATATCCAATCCAATATATATATTGATCGCCTTTTAATGAATATATTACTTATCAAAAATAAATAAAAAATTGAAGTATAACAATTATAAAAAGATATAATAATCTAACAGGGACGGTATGCTAAAATACCAGCCAAGCAACCAACAAAACACCCAAATTTGCAAACAACCAAGTCAGCAACGAGGAATCCCCAAGTGCTGCATAGACGAACAAAACCTTGTGGACAATTGCACAACACCTCAAACTAAGGAGGAGGTTACTGCTTAAGTTTAAACCATGTAGGACGGTTAACATTTTGACAACCAAACAATCTGAGTCTAATTGGGTTGTAAATTCCTTTTTTTTGTTTTTCTTTTGGAAAGATAATTGGGTTGTAAATTCCAAGCTGAAGGACTGCGCATCTTTATACTGATTTTTATACATCCTGGCGTTTTTCTCTAACCAAACATAATACACAGTAACGGAGAGACAGTTTAGTAAACTCCAGAACAGAAAACTCTCTCAACATGTTGCTCTATAACAATTATAGGATGACAGTTTAGTGCGTCATCTAGCCATCATGGAATGGTTGGACAAGAGTTGAAGATGATGTAACAACTAATCACTAAGACCTATTTCGTTCCAGCATTACAGGACATCAATTTCAGTTTTTCATCATTTTTTTTTTTTTATTATTATTATTATTTTTTTATTAGTAAAATGTATTAGAAAGCATTCAAAAGGAGAACGCATCCCAAGAGCTGTACACAACCAGAAAAAAGATGGAAAAGACCTATGAACACAAAGAGCCCAAAAAATCCACAATATCCACAATAATTTCTTCCCCAGCCCCAACAAAAAAGAGTACAAATAATAGAGAATTTCAGCGCCCCAATAGAGGACACCTCCCCATAAAAAGATCTTCGATTCCGCTCTTTCCAAAGACTCCACCAAACACAAAGGAGAGTCGCCCTCCAAAAATCTCTAGCATGCACCCCCACCCATTAGCCTCTCCAAATGTCCATCAATTCCCTAATGGTCCGGGACATGACCCAATGGACACTAAACAGACCGAAAATGAGACTCCAACAGTCATGGGCCACAGGACAATGCAGCAGAAGGTGATCCACGGACTCTCCATCCATCATGCAAAGACAGCACTGATTGACAATAATATGTCTTCTCTTCCTTAAATTGTTCAAAGTCAGAATCTTACCCCAAGCTGTGGTCCACACAAAAAATGCCACCCTAAGAGACACCTTTGATAGCCACACCGTCTTCCACGGAAATGTGGAACCATGAAACCCAGAGAGATAGAAAAAGAAGGACCGGACCTGAAACATCCTCTGCACAGAAGGCACCCAAGTCAAGGAATCCGCACCAGTGCCCTTCATCTCCTGTCTATATAAGAGACCCAACAAACCAGTGACATCATTCAACTCCCAATCCTGAAAAGATCGCCGGAACCGCACATCCCAAAACAACCTACCGCTATCAAGGCGATAGCAGTCAGCAACCATAGCATGTTTGTCAACAGCAATCTTGAACAGCCTTGGGAACAAAAGAGACAATGGGCTATCCTTACAGCAGGAATCCTCCCAAAACCGGACATCCCTTCCATCCCGAACTCTGAATCTAATATGTTTTGAGAACTCATCCCACCCCTTCCTGATGGAACGCTACACACCCACACCAACAGCAGACCTAACTAGCGTAGTTGACCACCCCCCTCTCCTCCCCCCCAAAGCGACATGAAATAACCTTCCTCCATAACCTATGTCTTTTGCTGCCGAATCTCCAAAGCCACTTACCAAGAAGAGCACTGTTGAAGGGGGCCAATCTCCTAATCCCAAGCCCTCCCAACTGAAAAGGCCTGCAAACCTGCTCCCACTGGACAAGATGGTACTTGAATCATCGGGTTCCACCGGAAGTACGTTGGGAGACTGGATAAAGTACTCTTCACTAAGGTGACTTTACCACCTTTGGAGAGAGATTGCTTTTTCCATCCAGCCAATCTTCTCTCAAACCGCTCAATCACCGGGTTCCAACTTCCCACCCTCCTGGCCGACTCACCCAAAGGCAAGCCCAAATATGAAATGGGGAAACGTCGCATCCCACACCCTAAAACAGCTGCCAGAGAATCCACTTCCAGAAGAACCTCCATAGGAACGAGCACACTCTTTCCCACGTTGACTTTCAAACCCGAAACAGCCTAAAAGCAAACCAGAACACATCTCAGATACCACAACTGGGACTCCTCTGCCTCACAGAAAACAAGAGTGTCGTCCGCAAAAAGCAGGTGGGAAATCTCTATCTGCTGAACCAAAAGAGGGCCAATCTTGAAGCCCCTAATGAACCCCAAGTCCACATCCCTTCTCATCAACCTACTAAGGGCCTCCATAACAATAATGAATAGAAAAGGGAAGAGAGGGTCCCCCTGCCTCAGGCCACGAGAACTGCCTAAACACCCCGAAGGAGATCCATTCACCAACACCGAAAATCGGACAGAGGAAACACATGTGACAATCCATTTCCTCCATCTCTCCCTAAAACCCATCCTCTCTAACAGATAGAACAGGAAATTCCAGCAAACATGATCATAGGCTTTCTCGATATCCATCTTCCACAGAACACTAGGAACACCACAGCTAAGTCTAGAATTCATACATTCACTGGCAATGAGAGCAAAATCCAGAATCTGTCTACCCAATGAACGCATTCTGAGACTCAGAAACGACCCCATCCAGAACCACCCTCAATCTAAGTGCAAGGACTAGCGATAAGCTTATACATACACCCGATCAGACTGATTGGTCTAAAGTCCTTAACACTATAAGCGCCTCCCTTCTTAGGAATAAGGGCAATAAAGGATGCATTCAATGATTTTTCGAACCTCCTGGTAGAATGAAACCCAAGAAAGGTGCCCACAACCTCATGTCTAACCACCTCCCAGCTTTCCAACAAAGATCTCATAGTGAAGCCATCTAGGCCTGAAGCCTTATCTCCATTACAACTCTTCAAAGCCTTCAGCACCTCCTCCGAAAAAGGGATCTCCAACCCATCCCTTTCCACCGTAGAAATGGAATCGAAGTGAAGACCATCCAGCCGTGGCCTCCATCTAAGAGGCTCAGAATAGAGCCCTTGATAAAAAGAGACAATACCGCTTCGAACCTCCTCCTCCGTGGTCAAAACCTTACCATCCACACACAACCGCCCAATATGATTGCCCCTCCTATAAGCATTAGCAGTTCTATGGAAAAACTTGGTATTTCGGTCTCCCTCTTTGAGCTACAAGGCCCGAGATTTCTAACGCCATGAGATTTCCTTCAAAACAGCAATCTCAACACATTTTGCCTGACAAGCTGCTCTCCTAAAAGGACACCTTCCCCTTCCAATCTATCAATCTCAGTGATATCAGCCAAGGCCCTATTCTTCCTCCACACCAAATTCCCAAACACCTCCTTGTTCCACCTTTTGAGTTTATTTTTCAGAAGTCGAAGCTTTCCTGCTAAAATAAAACTTGCCGTACCCACCACCAGATCCTCCTCCCACCAAGAATGCACAATCCCCTGGAAATTCTCCGCTCGAAGCCACCTTTTCTCAAATCTGAAAGGAGTGCTACAAGATCTCAATCCTCCACAGTCCAAGACCAAAGGAATATGGTCTGACGTCACCCTAGCCAACACAGCCTGGACAGCGTCCGGAAACTCCTCCTCCCAATCTCCAGAGACCAAGAACCGATCAAATGAGAAAAAGTTGGCTCTTCCCTTCCGCTGGACCAAGTAAAAGAAGCTCCCTCTAGAGGAAGATCAATGAGCTGGTGACCATCAATAAAATCAGAAAAATGCATCATAGCCTGCATCCACGGACCACCTGTAGATCTCTCTGACGGGGATCTAACCACATTGAAGTCTCCAGCCACACACCAGGGAAGAGACCACCTCCCCTTCACCTCACTCAACTCCTCCCACAACCCATCCCTCTCACGATCATCCACCAGCCCATACACCCCAGAAAAAGCCCAATGGAAACCATCTTCCTCCATCACAAAGGCACAAGACAGAGAAAAACGCCCCCTACAGACATCCGCCTTAGCCATCCATCTTCTATCCCACATAAGGACATCGCCAGAGGTTCCCACAGAATCCAGTGCCTCCCACTCAACAAATCGATTACCCCACAAGCTCTTGACCACCCTATCAGTCATAGAGTCATTCTTCGTTTCTTGAAGACACACCAAATGAACCCCCCAATTCCTCACAACCATCTTCCCCACCTTCCGCTTGCCCGGGTCATTGAGACCACGGACATTCCAAGACAACAGTCGTAGCTTCATGAGGAAACATGCACACCCACCTCCCCCTTGCCCCTCCCTCCCCCCTTATCACTGTCCCTCTCCTTCTCCCCCACAAGCGTCCTATCATAGTTCACATCTAAACATAGATTCCTCAGCTTCCTCTCCCCTTTCCAAGGCGAAAGGATCTTTTTCTTCCTGCTCCTTCTAGAAAACTGAACCATTCCCCCTTCTTTCCCTCCACCGTAGCATGAAGAATCGCTAAGGCCTAGTCCCGATTGCCCCCACAAGAGACACCCAACAGTTCGCTAGTGGTCCCGATATTATCATTGTTAAAACCCACTAAAAATGCAAACAAGCAAATTATGGTTCATGAAAGATATAAAACGTAACAAAAATTATATTAAAAACAAGCATTCAGAACCAAATCATCAATATATACAATACACACACACACACACACACACACAATATTAAAGCACAGTTTTGGCACTTTTGTTGTAGCATTCAGAACTTTAAGTGTTGATGGGGGAACCAGAACTTGAAGAAACAAGCATTTAGAATCAGTAAATAGTGGTATTTCTTCTTCCATCATAATCTTAATTTTAGAATCACCAACGAATAGTGAATGTATCAACATTTAAAATCCCAAATTTTAGTCTTACCACCGAAAAATAAACGCTTTTGATATTAAAATTAAACTATCCAAATTCAAGAGACCAGCGTGGATTCAAACTCTAAAATATCCAACTGTCACACACAAATCAGCAATTCCAACACTATAATTTTAACAAATCAAACTTCAAATTGAACACACCATCAACTATTGCAACAGAGGCTCCTCCCCTTAACCTCCATAACCAGAGAATAGAACATTAAAACACACAAAAGAACTGTAAAAGATGAAGAGGCTGGAATATCTTCAAGAGAACCTTGTTTTGCTGCAATGGAAAAGCATCACCATCTGTTTACTAAAATCCTAAACTTGGTTTCTGTGTTTTTTACTGTTCTGCTCTCTTCAATTTCAGAAAAAAAATGTCGTACGAGAAAATAATTCTCCCTCTCTTGACCTTTCTGGGTTTCTCTCCAGCTGGAGAATAGATGGTTCCAGCTACTGTTCTTGGTTCGACGTCTCTGAAAACGATTAGGTTACATTGCCATGTAAGGGGATACGGGCGGAATTCTTTCTTTTTAGTTCAGAATATGAGGGTAATACTGACATTATGGAAGTTTTAAAAAATACAATTCAGCTTCCTGAAATCTCAATTTGAAAGTTGTTCACCTAGGCTTCGTCTAAATGCTCGTCTTAGTGCAAAGCTCTTTCAAAGTCATCCAAACACTACATAATGATTTTTGAGCTCAAAAAGTCAAAAACAGAGTTTTAAAAGACGATCCAAACAGGCACTAAATATTGTAAACTATCTTAATTAGTAGTTAGCATACATAATACCATCAATCCGAGATACTGATTAATCCATATTTTGGCCACTAGGTTTATAAATGACCAGTTGTGATCAAACAAATCTAAAATTTAAACACCACATGCATCTTGAAAATATATTGCAAAGCCCATAATTATCAATTACTCAAGTAAATCAAAGTAACCATGACCATAAGGCATAAACTAGAGTCCATAAATCTATCAGGATTAAGATTCTGTCTGCTTTAGTAATTGATAAGGAAAATACTCATAATGGCTCAAGTAATTGTCAACTTATCCTCAATCTAGTTCAGTGTGTTCAACACACCAACACGTGTGGTTTTGAGTTTTATACTCAAATGATTGAGATAAGCCACCCTACAGGTAGAAACCAATTTGTTACATTCTTCTTAATTAAAAAATATATAAAATTATTAATGATTGTGAACAAGTTTATAATTATGAATTTATGAATACTAATGATTTATATTTCCTAAGCATAGACCACTTCCATATGCACATAAATCATCCTATCATAATTAATAGACACTTAATTCATAACTTATGAACTAATCAATACAAGCATTCACCATATATGTATGACAATAAATAAAACAAAATTTATTAAATCTAAATGTTAAAACTACAATCAATGGCTTTGAAAGGCACACATCAACCCTAACAATTCTTTAGATAGTATGGATACATGTCAAACTCCTAAAAATTACCCTATGGCTCCTGTGGCTCTACACTCTTGGATGCAATATTAGGAGTAAAAAAATAAATAAATAAAATAATAAGAAGAAGAAGAAGATTGGATTGTCAATCCCATTTGTCAATGACTCGATGCTATTTGTGTTGGAGTGAAGCAAAAAATCAATCCCATTTGTTCTTCAATTTTGAGTTTTCTGGTGCTATTTGGATTGAGTTGCAGAATATGATTGTGGGTTCTATATTTTGCCCAATGATTGAAGTCCTTGTTGGATTGGGTTTCTAACCACTGGAGTAATGATTCTATTGTTCATATGGTTAACAGGCTGGTCCTTACTAGAATTTGTTTAACATTTTTGGAGGGTGAAAAACTTCTGGGCATTTAGAAACATTGCTTCTTCTCCCTCTAAGGTTCTCAAACTTATCTTGAATTCTGTTAAATTTCATGTTGCATTTAGAAACATTGCTTCTTCTCCCTCTAAGGTTCTCAAACTTATCTTGAATTCTGTTAAATTTCATGTCGCTGTTCTTGCAAATCAAAGACTCTATTTCTGCTAGAAAAATTGCTGCTGCCTGCAGATTAGTCTCTTCCAAGTTCCTTTATTAAGCTTCCAAAGTAGTCCACTTGTTAGAGCAGTGAGCTCTTGCTTTGGTTTTGTTTGTTTTCTGCTAGAGCTTGCTCCGTTTGGTCTAATTACACTCAGATAGTCGGATGAAACTTTTCAAAATTTTTGTACCGTGTTCCCCTCATGTTTGCTCAATTGCTACTAACACCCCTATGATCTGACCAAAATGTCCATCCCTCAACATGAAATGACTTTTATAACCTTAACATAAGTTTTCTTTTCCTGGGTAACCTTAAAATAACTTTTAATTACCAAAATACCTTATTTTTACAGACAAAATTGCCCTTCTCTTTCTCTCTCCAGCCACAATTGCCCACCCCTACCCACGACCACCACCAACAGAGTATTCCTCTTCTCATTTCTCTTCTTCCCCCTCTACCTGCTCTCTATTATATATGTGCATATATATATACACACAAGCACCCATACAATCAGAAAAGAAGATACACCCAATTCTTCAAATTTCACAGCCAAGATTCTCTACTTTTTTTTTACATAAGTGAAATTAGATTCTCTACATGGGATTTTTTTCCCCCTGAATTTCTCTATATGGGGTTAGTTTTTTTTTTTTTCCCCCCTGAATTGCATGGGATTAGATTAGATAGTATAAAATAGTAGAAGATATAACAAATTGTTTATATAGGTTTGAAAATTAGGTGGGAAGTGGGGTCACTTTGAATCTGATATTCTTGAAATCTTATCCAAGTGAAGGGAAGAGAGAGAATGGCAAAATCACCCATGCCGATAACTAATGAAAAGCAAATATGATATATTGATTACACAATTTAAGTGGAAAATATATTCAATTCTTGAATTTTTGCTTCATCAGAAACATTTAGGTACTTAGTGATATCATATATATGTATATATATATAAATATATTATATATGGGTAGTACTTGTACTTCCCATTCCCATCTCTCATTCACTGAATTAACAAACCTTTGCAAATGCAAATGGGTCTTCAAATTCCTATGGTATTCAACAAACATTCTCTGTTATCTTTCCACTCCTACAAATGGGCCTTCAAAGGAAGCAAATGGGTTTTCAAATTTATACAGCATTGACAATCAGGGATCATCAATTTCTTGTTGCTGCTCATGAAATTTATACAACCATCAAATATCCCAGCCTTTGTCACTTCTCGTTGCCAGCAACAGAAGACCATCAGCCAAACACCACCTAAACAACATTCTTATGGACCTACTCAAAATCCTAATCAAAACCCCCAAATCTCCAAACTGAAAATTAAACCTAATTTGAATACAGTATTTAGTATATGTGTGTGAGAATTAAAAAAGAGAGATAAGAGAGATGGGGGAGATGAGAGTTGGGCCGACCGTGGAGGAGGAGAGAGAAAACGGGTGGTGGCAATGGTGGAAGTAGGTGGCGGTGGAAGGTTGGGCGGCCGTGGGATAAGGTGGAGGAGATAGAAGAGGGGTGGTGGCGATGGTGAGAGGAGGTGGCAGCGGCCGAAGGAAGTGAAAAGGAGAGAGAATAAGAGAGATGAAGAGGGAAAAGAACGCAGAGAAGAGAGAGAAAGAAAGATGGAAGAAGATAGGGGCAAAGTGGTTGTTGCTGGATAAGCAGATATTTTGGTGTTTTCGTATGTTAAAATATTGGGGCACAAAGGTCATTTCACCCTAAATATTAACATAGTAAGCTAGAGGGGAGATCGTTGCAAAAATTTGGAAAAGTTTCATCCGAGTGTGATTAGGCCAAACCTCAAGGGAGGTCAGTGTATTCAATTCATAATTATAAAATGAGAATAGAAGAGATCTTAAAATTAAAGAAACTACAGATTCCAAAATGGATGTCCAATTAATCCTTCCAAGACATTACTCATATATATATACACCTTACTCTTTTCATTGCAGGCTCTTGGTATAAAGGAGATCTCTACGAAGAAGTTTTGGAGGATCTCCAAACTGGTTTAGGCATGCCACAGTCAGACGCTCATCTTATCAATGGCCAACCAGGAGATTTTTGCGATTGCTCTAATGGTACGTTTTCCAGAACTGATTATTAGCTTCCCTAACATCAAGTATTTTGGAGGACACTAAGTCACTAATTGATAAAATCCACTTGTTTCTATAATTGTATGAAAATAAAATTCATTTTCCAGTTATAATCGTATTTTTCAAACCTTGGAATATAATTTTAATATATATATATATATAATATAAAAGAAGAAAATGATGTGATATCCCCAACTCATTGCTCCCACCCCCCGCGCCACCCCCCCCGCGCGGCGCCATGAAGGAAAAAAATCAATAAAGGTTACTCTTTCCATTAATAATGGACTGTGAGGATGTTTTAAAAGGATGGTTATGTTATTCCATTTTCTTATATCAGTGGAGTGCAAGTATACAAAAATAAGAGCAAATTAATAATGAGTTTAATTTCTAGCATGCATGGTTTTACAAAAATACAAGTGCATAATATTATGGCCAACCTAAAAGGATAAAATGAAATTGGACATCATTGATACATTAATTATATATCATGTGTTACAGGAACAACGTATCGCAGGGCGATTGATTATGGTAAGACCTATCTTCTTCGCATAGTCAATGCAGGGATGAATGCAGATATCTTCTTTGCTATTGCTGAACACAACATCACAGTGGTTGGAATGGACGGAAACTATCTAAAACCTATAGCAACACCTTATATTGTGATTTCTCCTGGACAAACCATGGACGTTCTACTCACAGCAAACCAGCCCCTTGGTCACTACTACATGGCCACCAGAACATATTTTACTGGCTATCAGAACTTTGACGATTATGACCAAACAAATGCTACCGCGATTTTAGAGTATAGAGGCAATTATACCCCTCCGGCTTACCCTACCTACCCAGTTGACCTTCCTTCTTATGATGATATTATCTCTGCAACGAAATTCCTGTTCCTCCTAAGGAGCTTAGCAAGTCATGACCACCCGGTGGATGTACCGCAAAATATAACTACCAGTATGTTTATAGTAGTTTCTTTGAATTTTGGTCTTGTTGCAAATACTTCATCTGAAGAGAAGCTTGCTTCCAGCTTAAACAATGTTAGTTTTGCGAACCCTAATATCGATGTGCTGCACGCCTATTATTGGTATGCTTCCTTCCATTTGTTGTTTTTTATTTTTGACAATTTCTGTTTCCTAAATTTAATCATATAGCTATCTCCATAAATATCAATAAATAGTGATCATCGCTCAGAGAAACATTAGTTGAATTAATCTAGGCATCTGATGATTTTTTGCAAATTAATTCATGTTTTTTTTAGACACCCTTTTTTCTATTAACATAGGATGGTAGATGAACTAATGGTACATCTAACTAATTTTAGGGGAAGGAATTGGTGTACTTAAAATTAAAATTTGCCTCTTTTAATTAGTTTCTTTAATTCTAAAAGAAACTAAGCCTTTAGGAATATTCATTGTTTTAGAAAAGTAACAAAAAAAAAAAAAGTTATGGTCATTATGTACAAATCTTTATCTTGTATTTTTTTGTTTTCATTAAGAGTAAATTTTTGCTTCTGGTCATTGATGAATTTTTGCTTCTGGTCATTGATGAATGATGATAATTAACATCATTTTGATACGAAATACAGGAACATGAGTGGGGTTTACAACGCTGATTTTCCAGATCAACCTCCTACTTACTTTAACTTCACATCGGACGAGGAGAGTGAACTAACTGTTCTGGGGACTAAGGTGAAGATGTTGAATTACAATGAAGCAGTGGAGATAATATTCCAAGGGACGAATATCATGAATGCATCAGAGTCTCACCCGATGCATTTGCATGGTCATGACTATTATGTGGTCGGATCAGGAGTTGGGAATTTTGACCCAGAGGTTGACCCCAAAGGGTACAATTTAGTTGATCCACCTCGAGTGAATACATTTGCGGTCCCTAAGGTTGGATGGATGACCATCAGATTTGTGGCCAATAATCCAGGTATATAATTCTTTCTGAAAACATGAATTTTTGCGTGAAGGTATATGGGTCTGGATCAATGGTAAAGCCACTTTTTTTTTTTTTTATTAGTTGATACACACATGCCTCCACTGAGGCTCGAACCCCTGACCTCTCTTTGCGAAGTAGGGGCCTGGTACCGCTGGCCAGTGGCTTGTTTGTAAAGCTACTCTATTGTCACCTAAAAGTTGCAGGTTGCAATTGATTATGAATTCCTGACATTTATGTGAATATCATTAACAGATTGATACTAACATGGGTGATTCTTGCTAGGTGTATGGTACTGGCATTGTCATTATTCTCGACATCTGAGTTGGGGTATGAGTACAGTTTTTATAGTGAAGAATGGTGGCACTCCAGAAACGAGTATTCGTGATCCCCCAGCTAATTTACCTCAATGTGAAGTTTCATTCATTGACGGGCTTCAAGAATTTTATCATTCAGATGGCGGAGAACTATACGAAAAAGATGAAAACTAATTGAATGCTGTTGAAGTTATAAAAATGAACCATTCCTTAAAGTAATTATTTAAGTCTTTGTATTCATGAATTTAAAGTTGGAACACAATCAAAATAGCCTCAGTTAGAAGCAGTGTTTCAAAACATGAACTGAACAGATTGATCCAATTATTGGGATGGTCACAAGCAGGTTTTTTTTTTTTTTTTTTTTTTATATGGAGGACAACTATTAGTACTTATTCATATATTATTTTACTATATGGTTTTCTGATGAGACCCACAAAGGGACCGATGATGGAAGACCCGTCTCCGCATCCACATCAACACAAACTCTCACGATGAAAAATAAACACACACACACACACACACACACACACATATATATATGTACATATCAAACCTGAAGAAATTTCAAAATTCCACAGATGAATTTTCTCCAAACTCGCAATAATTGCAATGGCTTTTCTATGGAGTAAAGGCATACCCCACTTCAGATCATACCCTGTCCTCAAAACAACTGCAATAACCATTGAGAAGTATTTGAGCCCATTCAAGAACATTTTAGAATTAAAAAAAGAACATTTTAGAAGAACCAAAAGGAAATAAACAGAGATGCAGTGTCAATTGTAGCATGTCAATATGTGTCCAAGAGGCATATCTCATCGCAGTGTCACTGTCGCACAAACTGCAACATTATATTGGAATTACCCTATAAGCCTATAAGAATTGCGTAGCACAAAAAACATTTTTGAAGAACTAAAAGGAAAATAAAACAGAGATATTTAAAGTGTCATTGTTGTATGTCAATGTGTCCAGGAGGCATATCTCATAGCAATGTCAATACTTTTTGCATTACATATATGTATGTGTAAAAATAAGCATACCTGAAGAAAATGCATCCAATATGGTACAACTGCGACACTGACATAAAGTTTTAAACATCATTGTCCTTGCATGTGTTTTCTCTCTTCTCGAAGTCCCTCCAACCATAGTAACAGATATAAAATTCCGAACTCCTGAAAGCCTGAACCTGAAATAGAAACAGTGTGTGTTAATTCTTATAATTCTCTTAAAATAACTTGAGTAAAAAGAAAATAAAAATCTCAGAATATCAAGGCAGAAAAAGAAATAATAATCTAACGGCATGATGTTAAACCTGGCCACTAAGCTGATCTGCCAAGAAGAAATCAGGGACGACAACCTAAAAAAGCAGAGAAAAAAAAAATGAAAATCCAATTCTAGTTTTACATATATGTCTTATTCATTGAAATTTCGGTCCCGTTACCTTATAAAGAGGAGTACAAAGACACTGAAATGCGCCAATGATAAGGAAGAAGTGACTTGAACTGTAAATGATGTTGAAAGGATAGAATGTTATAAGAAGGACGCGCTGCTTTTAAATATCATTAGTTTATACTCACTAGATATGATGTTTATTACCTCATAGAAAAAGATAATAAAAATTAATTTGAACAAGAAGGAAGATGTATAAAAGAGATAAATGAATAGCTTACAGTGACTAGGCCCAAAGGTAGCAATTCAGTTAAAGCTCTGAAGCTTTTTGTTCTGGGGTCCATTTCCATGTTCAAGTTTGAGACTACACCAGCCATTGTGAGTACTGCGAGGCCAAAACTGAGGAGGAGGCCTTCACTGTTACCCAATCCTGTCCCTTGCTTGAAACCAAATATAAAGGTTATGGGATAATTAATCTGGTAACGCCTCCCAAAGTATATGTTCCCAGCATCCATGAACATGTGTAAAACAATGAATACAAACAAGCTGTAAAAAGTTGCAGCTAACTGATCAAGTCATGCTCTTTTTGGTTAACAAGAACAAGAAGAAAGGAAAATAAACTCAAAACTAACAGCAAACAAAAGAGTTAACAACCATACTAGCCACAGATGGTTGTGATCACCAGAACATACCATAAAGTGGAAATATATTTTACACACTGCTCACTCTTAAGAACATCTCTTGCATGTACAACTACAGCAATAGCCAGTGCAAGTGCTATTGAGCAGCCAGAGAGGAAACCTGAAGAATGAAAGCAGTTAAAGATTGTTTATATTGAATAATTGCCGGAAAGCATAGAGTATTTGTTCTATAAATACAAAACAATACTATTAAGATTTTAGAATTTCAGAAACATATAAAACTAAAACATTTATACATTTACGATGCTCTAAGAGCCAGTTATAGTACTCCTATCCAATAAAGGATAATCTCAAAAAGAAATTAAATAACAACCCAAGCATTCGGAGAAGTTGAAGTTCCTAAGCATTCTTCCTTTTAAACTTTTTAGTCTGTAATAATATCTCTAGTCTTCTTACGATGAAAAGAAGACCTGTTTAACTTTCTCGGCTTTACAGAATTATGAGATTTCTAATGGGTCATCATATTTTCTTCTTCAAAAAATTTAATTGCTAGAATTTGTAATATCTATATATTCAGTACATCTCCACTTCTTTGGTAATAATCAAGTACCTATTGGTGCCACTGTGATATTGAAGTTCTAAGTGAAGTAACAACAACAGATGCACCAAGTAATTCAACATGTCCAGACATGGTGAGCAAATGGTAAGTGGCTGATCTTTTTGCAGATAGAATGTCCAGACAGGCCAAAAAAATCTGAAATTGAAAAAAATACAGTGGGAGAAGCAATTAAAAGAAAGAAGCCACACATGAATATGATGCTGCTCTTGATATATATTGAAAAAGTAGGAGAACACCATGAACTGGGAGCTGAGCTTCCTTTTCTGTGGGCATGCAGTGTTTTAAAGCAAAACACCATTATTAATTCCAAAAGTCTGGAGTAAAAATGAAATGTTAAACTAAATGCAGTTGATGAAGATATATTAAATTACATATTTACTTGAGTTGAATATCTATAAATTATTGTACTAAAATGTTTTTTCTTCTTTACACACTCTGGAACATAAAATGACCAATATCTATGAAAACATGCAAACTCAACAAATATCCACCTCAAATTGACACATGGCCTCAAACCCTACCTAAGAAACCAAATTAGACCCCAATGTAATCAATACACCATTCAATTGCAAAGCTATCAAATTAATGATTTAGGAGAGAGATCGTAACAGAAAAACACATTCAGGTGCATTTCTTGATACAACCAAACAGAGAAAGCACTAGAAAATTCTAACCTGATCGATTAATCGAACACAGAGACCTTCTGAATCAATCACTTTAATCGATCGCTGAGAAATGAAATTCGTGTGGACAGAGTTATGCGTTCCTCGTCATTAATATGTTTGCATGCGATAATTGGGTGAGAGGGATGAACCCTAACTCATATTGAGAGAGAGAGAGAGAGATGAAATTGTTTGCTAGCTTTGGAGTCACTGTTGCTAGAATGTGAATTGGTATAAAGCCAGCAATCTGTGGACACAGAGGAAAGCTAACAAAGGACATCGCAACTGATAACAAGTCCCTTGCGAGCCAAACAAGCCCCACATGCCCTGCAACAACGGGCTGTTATCCCTTTTTCTTTTTCTTTTTTGTTTTGTTTTTATTTATTTTTTTTTTCTTTGGCCCACAAGTAACGGCTCTTTTCCCTTTATTTTTTGTTTTTTTATTTTTTATTTTTTTCTTTTGGTTTTTTTCTTTACTATTTCTTTTTATATGTAATTTATTTTTATTATAAAAAATAAATTTATGATTTTGATTATTTTATTTTATTTTTTATTTAGAAATAAATATTTATGATTTCTATTTCTTATTAGTCTTTTGAAAAAAAAATTTAAAAAATTTGTCAACGAATTTTTTAAAACAAAATATCATATTGCTAGAAATGGTTTTAAAAAATACAAGAAAACAAAAAAATAAATATGTTTTTAATTTTTTTTTACTCAAAATATTAAATGTATTAAAAAAGTACAACAAAAAATAATAAAATAATGAATATCAATTAACCCACACCGTGTAAACAAGATAGCAATATACTGTTGCTAGTCACATCAACACAATTGTTAACGTGGCTAGCAATCCAACAAAGCTTTGCTAGCATGTATTGCTAGCACTATACCACTTGTCCTAACACGATAAACAAAGGCTGTAAACGGGCCGAGTCGAGCCGAGCCGAGATTGGAGTGTTTGGGCTCGGCTCGTAACAAAAAAAAGCATGCTCGAGCTTCGGCTGCCACTGTTCAAGCTCGGCTCGGCAGTGGATAGTGAATGTGTAGCCAATGGTCTGAAGGTTTTAGGACCAACTGTAGCTAAGAGTCTGAAGGTCTTTGGGCCAAAATATAGCTAGGAGTCTGGTCGTCTTTGAAGGGGTGTGTGTACCTTTCAATTGCTAATTAAAGTTGTTATTTTAACCACAGGTTTTTAAATTGTATAATGATAAAGGATAGGTGTAACTAAGAGAGAATGAAAAATAAAAATAAAAATAGAATTGATGCTTATTACTGATGAATTGAATTTAGGTGATTTGGTTATTTACACTTGTATATAGCTTTTATTTTTATTTTTTCGGTGTTTGGTGGATAAAAATCGTCTCCATTCGCATCTCACTAGAAAGTGTCCAGTGGTGGGCCCTCGACTGATGTGGCAGAGGTGGTAAAATGAATAGTTACTATAGTTTTTCTTATACCATTTCTATACATACTTAGTTATACATCGTATATTTATATTATTTATTTAATTATTGGATCCCACATCATGTAAAGACTTATTAATGTGTTGGTGTGCTTGTTGAAAATTTTAGATTTAATTTTGAAATTTCCTCGAATCATCATCTTCTTCCAAATAGCTCTTCCAAACAAAACAAAAGTGAGTTCTTTCTCTCTTCTCTTAACTATAAAATTTGATTTGGGGTTTTGTATCTGACGAACAAGAATAGCACATCTAAGCATTTTTTTCCCGAATATTATCTTCCTTTTTATAATTTTTTGGGATTGATTTGATCTTTTATATATGTTGGGTCGTAAAAGAGTTTTTTAGGGTTTGATTTGGGTTTTTTGTTTGCGAAAAGATTAATTTTGGTTTAATATTATCTTCCTTTCCTATGTTCCTCTCAGGGGCTCTGGAGAAGTTGCAGTCCAGAAAAGGTAACAGTGAAGAGAAATAATGGATTTGCACAATGAAAGCTCTCAAGCCCCAAAATGTCCGCTTTGTAGTTGGTGGAAGTCACAATTCACTCGCCATTTGTGAAGATGTCTGGTCCTCTTTTTTCTCTTCATATCTATCCCTTGTATATATAAAGCACAGATTATTTTCTTTTTACTTTTTCTTGCAATCTTCTTTAGAACCCTTACTATTTTTATTGTTTCAAATCTTCTTTTGATATTCCAAATTTCTGAGAGAAGGCAAAATCTAGGATTTTTTTTTTTTTTTTTTTTTTTTTTCTTTTGTTCCTGATACCTGGATCGGAACAATTAAAGGTGGAAATTTTTTTTTTTTTTTTTCTAACATTAAAAAAGTTTGAGCTTGAAAACGGATTGTTTCCGTTTCAATGTTGGATCAATTTTTATTTTTTTATTTTTTAAAAATATGAAGATTTATTAATATATTCACTTTTTCAGGTTCTAGTTTCCGAGATTTTTCTTTTTTTCTTTATTTCCGGGCTGCATGATGGTTTTTTATTTTATTTTATTTTTCTCTTGTTTTATTTCTTAACTTTTATTTTTTCAGTTTAGTTTGTGATATCAATTGTATTTAAGCTGTTGATCTATTGTCAAATATGGGGTGTCAATCCACTTAATGTTTAAAATGGATGTTATATGACTCATTTGTTTGCTAACAAAGAACCTGAGAAAAACAAAGAATATTTTTAGTGTAGACACTAATATCATTGTTCATTTGTTTAGGTTTTTACCTTTATTGCTATTTGTTTCTATTTACTTAATCAATTTTCTTATCAAGTTGTTCCCATAACTGGCAGAAATAGAATCCATCTTTGGAATATTTTATCTCTTTTAAATTATCAAAGCATAAGTACATTGAAAATTTTGGATTATGAGAGATATGGTTGTGGTATTTACCTATTTGTCTTGGTGGTTATGGAGTGCAAAGCAACAAGAGCCTAAAATCTCCGATAGGTCTTCTTTAAATCCTTTATTGGATTGGGGATTGTGGGAGTCATATGCTGTAAAATTCTCTTTGGTTAATGTTGGTAACATGATATCTGTTGGAACCGATATATTAAAACGGTGAGTATTGAGGCTTAGAGGCGCGTAATCATTTCTTGAAGATAGTTGAAGCCTCTCCCACGTGCAACGGAAGACAAATGGAAGCACTATCTCCGGGATTCAACTAAGCCCATATATCAAAACTGTATGTTCATGAAGGTTGCACTTCTTCTTCATGAACTTGTGTATTTATCTCCGTCCGATCAACAGAAAATATGAAACTCACACACTCAAACTCAATAATTTGAAAACACTTTTTCAAATATCTTTTTCTTTCTTACTTGTATTGAGAGTGTGTATTTTGTAGGATTCGTAAACCTACTATTTATACTAATAGAAGTGGGACTGTAATTAACTTAATATTAATGAAAGCATTTAATTTTCAAAAATAACGTATAAGTTAAAGTAAGTTAATACATCAGATGAAGAAAACTTTATTTATAGTTTACTAAAACTTCATTAAGACATATGTTGGAGTTTTAGTAAATTAATAACTAATTAATTTGAAACATAACTCCAACAATCCCCCACTTGTTTCAAATTCATTTTGTTGATCGGTACAGTCATGTGTATCAATAATGGTGTCTTTTGGACTTGAACCATTACCTAGTGTAAGCACCCTTGATTTCATCTAGGAACTTGGTAAACGATGTCTTGAACCAAGAACCACATTGATGAATAAGAAATACTACACACACACTTTTGTTCGGAGATAAAGTACTAAAGCTTGACACGTTTCGGCCACGTATCCGGAATCCATACTTCTGAGTGTCATTAAGGATCAAGCCTGTCTGGATCCTATAGAAGTGGCCCTTCTTCCACACTCAGATCGGTGTGTCCATCAAGAATGACCTTGCACACTCCAACCGAATACCGGTTATGGACTCATTAAGAGATTTAATCTCATTCCTCTCATTGCAAGATAAATCGGTGAATCTATCAAGAGTGTTTGTGAACACCCTAATCGGAAATCTGATCTATAGAATTCATTAAGAGACTCATGTCTCAACCTCCTCATTGATTATACGATGCATCTATCAAGAGTGATCCTGTACACTCCAATTTAAAATCGATCTATAGATTCATTAATAAATCTAAAATCTCAACCTCCTTAATTACAGGATTGAGCACCCATATCACATCATAGGAAAAAAAACATTGATGATAAGTTGTTATGTTACTTGTTTTTCCCATTGAATCGAGGAGAAATATCACTGGGTTGGGTTCCCATAACATCACAACATCAATTACAGGCTCTTTCCAATCCCTTTAGATGTCTTGGACACAAAGTCCCTTCACATGTCATTCAATAGTGGATATGCCAAATGAGATATGGCCTTAGACATTAAGTCCCTTCACATGTCTTTCGACACTGGATATGCCAAATTAGATTCGGCCCTGGACACTAGGTCCCTTCACATGTCTTTCGACAGTGGATCTACCAAATGAGATTTGGCATTGGACACTGAGTCCTTTCATATGTCTTTCGACAGTGGATCTGCCAAATTAGATTTGGCCTTCACACAGTAAATTATGATAATCCATTTACCAGGATTTCTTCCGGATGATTGTGCTTCAACTGCACATGTATGGACTTTTCATTGTAACACTCGTTGTGAGCTTGAAGCATCGCAACCTTATTGTCACAAAAATATATCAAGAGCGGTATAGGCTTACTTCGTATTGGAATAATACTCTCCAATAAGATTTTTACCCAATCAATTTCCTCTCCAGCTGAGAAAGTGCAATAACATTCAGATTCTATCGAGGAATGAGTTATACACGTCCACCCTTTTAATTTCCAAGAAATCACAACACCACCCAGGGTGAAGATCCAAGCTGTTATGAACATTGAGCATCCATAGCAAAGAATAGCTGGATGTTTGCAATAATGTGACCCATGATCCATAGTACTTTGCAAGTACCTCTATATTCTCATAAGAGAAATTTAATGATCTCTTCCCAGATTATTTCTGTACTTGATAACAAATTGTGTTTGCCCTGGTGCAGTTCATTGCGTCATAAAGACCACCAATTTGAGAATTCAAGTTGATTCTCTGCACTGCCTTGATTGCAAATTGACTCTGATATAGGATCAATAAGAACAAAGACTGCAGCATCTGATAAGATTTTGAACCTTTCAAGATTAATTGAAAAAATTGGATTGTGTGAAAGTAAATCCATGTTGAGGCCCCACACTTTGATTTACACAATCACACCAGCTTCCTTAAGATCCATCATGTTAAAAGTTCAAATTAAGAACTTAATACGCATATAATAATTTCCAGAATTCCCTTGGAATCTCCTTTTATTAATATGAAATTCAGCTGCAATCATTACTTTCCTAAACTTTCATTCCTCTATTTAGGAGCTTTCAAAAATGAGTTTTCAAGTATAAAAATTAATATCATCAATAAAATGATAACATATCACTTTCCTTCATGAAAATAATTAGCTCATT